GGCTGCCCACATCCTCACCTCACTAAACTCTGCACATCTATGAAACCAGTACTTGCCAGACTCCACTGGCTTCCAACAGATCCGACTTCAAGGTCCTCACCTATAAATCCCTTCACTCCCTAGCATTTTCCTATCTCTTTGATAGCCTCCTACTCTACTCCTCTGCTCACCCCCTCCACTCACCAAATCTGTGCTTGTTGCACATCGCCTGCCCTATCCTTGCAACCATTGTTGGCCGAGCTTTTAAAATCTACAACCTTAATCTGTGGAACACCCTCCCACTTCCCCTCTGTCTTGCAACATTTCTATCTTTCTGAGTCCCAGCTTAGAACCGATCTCTTCAACCATGCCCACGTGCACCTCTCCTTCCCCCTTTCCCATTAGGTCTCTGATCCCACCATTCAAAAGCACTCCAAGACATTATCTTACTTGAGAGTCATGATGTAAATGCAAATTGTTATAGATGTTGTTGGTCAGTAGGTGCTGTTCTTATTGTTCATATCAGGAAGGTTGTCAGGAAAGGTGGTAGAGACCAGCTCACTAGAATTAGGGGATGGCATAATGGCTTGGCTGCTATTGGTAGGGTGGAGGGGGCTAAGGTAGATGCCCCAAGAAATATACTTAGAGATAATCATTTAAAGTACCCATTTCAGCCAAGAGCCTTACTGAATTCTTTGCAGGAAGAAGTGGAAAATACACAATGCGGTCACCACTGGATGATTTTCATCTGCAATTTTACCTGCACATCTGCAAGAAGTTAAAAAAATTATTTATAACTTAACATTTAAAAGAAACACCACTTGCCAAATTTGGAACAAAAATGATTTTGTTAAAAAGAAAAACTCCTTGTGGCACTTTTTAAATTTGAACCAGATTTACAACACTGCAAAAAAACAGCTCACCATCACCCCCAGCCAGTTTACTCTCATCGCAATAATTTGTATAAATATTCTGTGCCTAGAATATGTCTAGTGTGCATAACTGCCACCAAATTCTCCTCAAACCAAATGAGCTGGTTCAAAATGGTCAATCGGATGCCAGTGCCTTGTAATCAGTTTCTCCCCACCTGGAAGAATGCAAAGCGATTGCAAGGTGCCAGAATGTCAGTCAGTCAGTCATTTTAATGGAGACAATTGGCAAGGTGGGTTTTGTGAATGCACAATTGGTTCCTGACGTTTATCTGTACGTGCCACCTTCTGCCTGGTCGCATCAGGCTTTTTGGCAAACTGTTGTTCCATAGTTAAACATATTCCATAATCTAACCCTATAATATAACCAGGTATGTATAATTACAATCTATCAAACTGGACAGGTTTAAAAAAAATACAATCCTGCACATTTGTAGAAACCTACACTTCCTTTCTCTGAAAGCAGAACAATGTGAATGTGAATTACATTAGTTGCAGTACAGAAATAAAACTGAGAAGTTCAACAGCTCCATCTTGTGGGACAATTTCATCACTTTCAAGAGCAAAAATCCCTTTTGTTTTGGGGGCTACATTTCAAGATTTTGGGGGAAATTCCTTTCACCATCACTAAATTTCCATTTGTATAATATTTGACCAACATTTTAAGATACATTCACTTTTCCACCTTCAATTCTAACTGTAATGCTACTTTAGTTGTATATTGTCGTATCTTGTTTAAAATCACTGAAATCAAGGAGTCCGTGCAAGTTAATTTACTGATCAAACCCTCCCCCTACCCCCACCACCACCATTGTAACCCCTCTTCCAGCATTTTGGGGCTTTACATTATGTATTTGCACTCTTTCTTCATTAAACGGCTTTAAAAGAGTCAGTCACTACTTGAAATTTTTTAAGTAGTGCATTCATGTTTAAAGATACACATTTCCTGTTCTATAAAGCTTTTATTCTGTGAAAACTTAATTCATTTGTTTTTTCCTTTGTTATTAAAGTCCAACTTTCATAACACAATAAAAGAAAAAACAATAAATTAAGACTGAAAAAAAATTAAAACAATTGCGTAATCTTTACTATGATTACGAAAAGAGGTTTCACTTTTTTAGATTTGAATAAAGTGCAGATAAAGAGATTAAATCATGCAAATGGAAGTTGAAATTGGAAAATTAAGGAATTTAGACAGCAAATATGGCAAGAAATAAACAGCCAAAATGAAGAAAAATAACTGAAATTGTACCACTAAAGCCATCATAACACTGGTACTTTATGCATAGCATTTCCTGTAAGCAAGGAATTTGGGGCATTGGCTGCACGCTTCAGTTTGTAACATTTCAACTCTGATGCAGTTAACTGGGCAAATATGATGCCCAGTTAACTGCAAAGAATATGATGTAAAGGTAGCTAAATATTCACTGTCAGAAAGAGTCAAACCTTATTAATCGTTTGGTCTTGCGACTTGGTGGATAGGTCATTGCAAATGCAAGACGAATTGGGAATTGGCATTGCATCAGAGTGAATGAAAGATCATTGTCTGAAGGCTCTAGTATAGTTGGACTTACTTATTAAATGAGTTGGACTTATTTAATAACAAAGGAAAAATAGTACCCAGTTCCCTTTGGCAGCTCCAGCAATAAACTCTGCATCTATCATATGGTCTTGCCTTTATTTAACAATGAGTCTTGTGCCACTGCATGGTCCTTGGCAGATGTTCAGATTTCAAAGAAGCACCAGGACAGCTTCTTGTTAAGATAATGAGAATGCATTCCTGATGTGAATTAAAACTATTGAAAAACCCAACTAGATAGTTATTTTTCTCTTTATTTTAAGATTCAACACTATGAATGCAATCAATATCAATAGGTCTTTTAAATTGCTCTAATACTTCATTCACCTTGTTCTTCATAACTGTGTTATAATACACGTTGTTATATAAGGCAGATTTGCTTAATACTGCTTAAATGGAGTGTGGACCCCATTCATTGCACATTCATACTGCAAGTCAGCTGCAGTGTAAAAATGGCCAACCTCTGGGTAATGAAGTCACTACAATCAATTCCTGTGGATTGACAGGGAGCAACATATTCAGTGACCTGATGAGCTGGCCAGTTGCAGGGGTGATTTGTGAATGTAGAAGCCATGTTTAATTATGATGACCCCTTTCCCATGCAGATAGGTATTTTACCCCTCACCCACTCCCTCACCACCTTTAAGACCCACCTCAAGACTCTCCCCTTCGACCATGCTTTCGATCTCCCTGCTTTCCCCCTGCCCTCCACCCTCCCCGACCCCCAGCTCGAGTCTGTAACTCTGTTGTCCAGCGCCTTGGGACGTCCTCCCGACATGAAAGGCGCTATACAAATGTAATTTTGTTGTTGTTGTTATGGACTCTAACTGTTGCCTCATTGTATTGTTATCTTGTTTAATGCTTCAACATCATGATCAACAACAGATTGGATGAAAATATAATTCACAATGTTTACTTGGCTTCAACATTCTCTGAGAAATTCATTCTTCCTATTTGATGTACAGAAAGTTCTCTCTTCCCAACTGAACAGTCCAGTCAGAATATTCTTGATCTTCTACTGTTCTCATATTAAATTTGACTCTCATTTGGAGCATTGTATTTGCCAGTGCTGGTCACTATTTGCATCTCCTTATGATAACCATCTTGATCATATCCAATTCTAACACTGATGGACAAATATCATTGTGTACTTTATAGAAACACACACACATATATATCACAGATATTCATGCAGACATTTAAAACTAACTTTTTTTCCCTACATGTTTCTTGCAATGATACCCTTTTAAAGCTAGATATTATTTGGAATGTTCTTTTTTCCCTGCCAGTGTCTACCCTCTCCTCAGGTGCAGTAATGCTGGGTAAGCAGGCAGTCTCTGGTCCTCTGCCAAAGTGGCTGGGTGCCCTCCTGGACCTAATGTAGTAGCTACTTTTCACTATGGAGTCCTGCAGCTCAGTGGTTAGAGCATTCGCCTGGGTTCAGTTCCCAACAGGGTGAAACCTTAGGTAAGTTCCACACGCCTGATAGTAATCCCTCAAAAAAAACAATAATAAATTGGTCACTTCAATTCACGATTGTACATGAGACACTGCTGTGCGCAATTGGCTGCCACATTTCTCCACAAAATATAGTCAATTCACTTTACAGTATATTCTGTGAAGCGCTTTGAGACATCTAGATGTGAAAAGCGCTATACCAAATGCAAGGATTATTATTATTATTAAATGGCATTGTTGTGTCTACTAACATATTTGCAATTTAATGTTTAAGAAAAAGTATGTCTTCTTTTATTAAGGTTTCTGAGCAGGTAAATAACAAACCTTTCACTCCCCTCCAGCAATAACAAAATACAGTAGACGTTGTTCAATCTATTACTAATTACCCGAGTATTGGGGTTGACTTAGCTCAACATTCTGCCGAGTAGAGTTTGTTAGTTAAATTTAATTCCCGTTTAGCATTTGCATATCCTAATTGATTTCAATCCTTAAATCCATCATCGCATCAGGCTATCTCGTTACTTTAACATAACACAATATTTTTGAAGCAGGGAATTGGCATAGGAAGCTCCAGAGTTAGCATCAGCATCAAATCAATGGGTCAAATAGCTGACTGGCTCCAAGATGATATGTTTGGAATCAGAAGGTCGGAATCGAGTCAACCCTCTGCAGTGGTGCCACTGGTCTGGTTCCTGAGCCAGGTGGGTCTAACGTACTACATGGTCCTGCTGATGTCAGCTTGGCTCAACAGTAGCATTTGGAGTGGCAGACTGGGGGCGGGACTCTTCCCAATTAGGTTCTGTTAACCTGTAAGCCGAAGCCCTAACAGGTAGGAGCAGCAGGAAAGCTTGCCAGTCAGTGCTTTCAATGGCAAGTTATGTGGTTTAGCTGCCTTAACCTCCAGCAGTATCCCAATGCTCACTCTGGGGTCCCCAAGATTGCACTTCAATAAGGAGACACTTTTCAGCAATATTTAATAGTTTTACCTGAAACGCCGAGACTACACAAACCAAGACAAGGAGGTTCTGCATTAGGATAACAGGAATCGTACTTACTGCCAGAATGCCTGTCAGCTGACTGTGAAAGAGGCTGAGCATCCCTCCGAACATCACTAAGGCCATGAAAGTGGATATCCGCAGCAACGCCAGCTCATGTCTGAGCACAAACTGCTCCTTTTGGGGAGGAAGAAATGATTGCAGCTTAAACTGAAAGTATTAAGGGCACAATTTTTAAAGAGGCTCATTGTAAGAGGATTAAATTAAGACCCCAGTTTAATTTGATTAACATATCTAACTGGGTATTAAATGCTGAAACCTGGTTAAAGCAAGAAGGATGAAACTGGAGCTCTCCTCAGACAATTTATAATGCTTTATGATGGAACAGGCTAGGCCCAAGACTTCTAGGCAAATCATTTATTTTAGGCCAGGAAGAGCATACATTTCAAACATAAACCAGCCAAAGGCTTGTTAGCTGGAAACCAGGGAAAAGTTAGAAGGAATCTTCACTCAGAGGGATGTTAGAGTTTGGAATTCATTACCACAGGTAACTATTAATAATAATCCTTGCATTTGATATAGCGCCTGATTACGTTTCAAATTGCTTCACAGAATACACTGTAATGTGAACTGTATATTTTGTGGGCGAAATTCATCTTTCAATTATTGAGGGTGAATCAATAGAAGCATTCAGAATAAGAACCTGAGCGGTAAAAACATTAAGTTATATGGGAAAAGAGCTGGAAACTGGGATTAAGTAAAGAGAGCAACTTGGAGAAAAAACAGCAGCAATAGCACAGACACAACAACAATAAAAATAGTAATAATAATAATAATAAATGTCAGACGAATGTCTCAAAGCACTTCACAGGATTTACTGTGAAATGGAGCGACCATGTATTATAGGCAAACAATTGCACACAAGACTGCCATGAAATGAATGACCAATTTTTTATTTGGGGAACTGTCGGCCAAGGTACAGGGAGAAACTCCCTCCTCTTTTTGAATAGTGCCATGGGATATTTAACATCTACCTGAGCAGGCAGTTGGAACCTCAGTTTAAAGGTTGGGTTACATTTGGTATGAAGGACAATGCTTACATTTAGTATAGTACCCTTCACATCAGAGGTCATCCCAAAGTGCTTCACTTATATTGCAAAGTGAAAAACAGAGTCTATGCTTGTATGAGGCCAATCTAAAGCCTACTACTTACAAAATAAAACATACTCATTCACTTCAATCTGCCTGGATCAGTCTTTCCCAGCAGGTCACACCCTCTGCATCCCAAACAACAACAACAACAAGATTCCATTTATTGAGCGCCATTCACGTCAGGAGGACATCCCAAGACGCTGTACAGTTGGGTCAGGACCCGAGCAAGGGGGAAATGGTCAAGGTGAGGGGAGGGAAGGGAGGGAGCGAGGAGGGGGAAGAGAGTCGAGAGGGGAGCTGAAGGCACGGTCAGAGAGAAAGGTCTTGAGACCGGCCTTGAAGGAGGAAAGGGAGGAGGCGGCGAAGGCACTGGGAGATAGAGTTCCAGAGCCTAGGGGCTGAGAGGCTGAAGGCCCGGCCACCAATGGTAGGGCAGTTGGGGCGGGGGATGTGGAGCAGACCGGAGCCAGAGGAACGGAGGGTACGGGCAGGTAGGTAGGGGGATAGTAGGTCGGAGAGGTAGGAGGGAGCAAGGCCGTGAATGGCCTTGTAGGTGAGGATGAGGATGAGGATCTTGAATTCGAAGTTTGTATGACATGTTCCTACAAATCTTCACATCATGCTTTGTACAATTCAAGTGAACAATGTAAAATTATGTCTAAGCAGCATTCTTACCTCTTTTACATTTATTATCGGCTGCAGGCAGTAATACTGAGAGAAATCCAGGAACAGTGTGATTAAAGTTAAGAATTGGGTATAGAAACACAGCTGCAGAAAGAGCCAGTGATTGTCCTCACCAACGCAGTTGTTGATCCTGTGAAAGGGGGTTGAGAGAGGGGGAACGGGGCAAGAGAAGGAAAGTAAAGATGTAATTTACAATTACAATAATCTGTCCACAGCATGTAACCAATAAACGTAAGGAACATGCAAGAAAACGCAAAACTTAAAGGCAATTTTTTTTTTGGTGAGCCAGGTCTCTGACGCACGTGGAAGGTATCCAAACCAAACTAAGAGTTCCACATACGCCACCTACACATAGAAATGCTTGTATTTTGGAAGGGAATGCATACTCTCTTCCCGTAGAGACAAGCCTGATTACCTAATTCTGGAGAGCATTTGGAGAAGGTTAGCAAGAGCCAAGGCTTCGCGAGCCCAGGTTTTTGTTTGGGTACTGCTGGAGGCTAACCAGTTAAAACCGCACAGCTCACTATTGATAGCACTGTCCAAAAAAGCTTTCCTGCTTCTTGTCCAGCTAGGACCACTCTATCCATTAGGGCTTTGGCTTGCAGGGTTAACAGGAGCTGAGTAGGAAGAGTCCCTGTTTCCAGTGACTGGTGTGCCCTTCCAGTCCTGCCGATGCTGATGGCCTGTCATCAGCAGTGCCCTGGAATACTGTGGACTCGCCTGGCTCAGGAACTGAACTACCAAGACCGTCACAGAAGGTTGACTTCATTCAGACAATGCATTGCCAAACAGATCACCTTCGAGCCAGTTCAGCTCCAAGGAGACCCCATTAACTTCCCTCCCCCCCAAGAGGATAGTCACTAGTTGGTCATTTGCCATCCAACAAGCTCAGGTTTTAACATAACATGTAGGAGCAGGAATAGGCCATTCGACCCTTCAAGCCTGCCCCGCCATTCAATCATGGCTGATTTTCTAATCTAACTCCAGCTAATAACCTAACCCTGTATTATCCCCATATCCCTTAATCCCTTTTGTAATAAGAAATATATCTATCTCAGTCTTAAATATTTTCAAGGACTGAGTGTCAACAACCTTTTGGGGTAATGAGTTCCATACATTCACCACCCTTTGAGTGAAGAAGTTCTTCCTCAACTCAGTGCGAAAGGGCTGGCCTTTGATTTTAAGGTTGTGACCCCTGGTTTTAGTTTCTCCAACCAGGGGAAACAATCTCCCACTATCTACTCTATAATGCCCTTTGATGATCTTATAGGTTTCTATAAGATCCCCTCTAATTCTTCTATATTCTAGAGAATATAGGCACAAATTGGTCAGCTTACCCTCCTAACTCATCCCCTTCATTCCTGGTACTACTCTAGTAAATCTACGCTGCACCCCTTCCAAGGCAAGTACGTCCTTCCTTAAATAAGGAGACCAAAACTGGACACAGTATTCCAGGTGTGGTCTCACCAGGGCCCTATACAGTTGCAGCAAGACTTCCCTACTCTTATACTCTAATCCTTTCATAATGAATGCTAACATACCGTTCACCTTCCTAATTGCTGCTGCACCTACAGACTAACTTTCTGTGATTGGTGTACAAGGACACCCAAGTCCCTCTGGACGCTAACACATTCCAATCTCTCCCCTTTTAAAAATAACCCGCTCTACTGTTCTCGCTACCTTAGGTGGATGACTTTGCACTTCCCTACATTATACTTCATCTGCCACCTACCTGCCCAATCACCTAACCTATCTATGTCTCGCTGCATTTTTTTAATGTCATCCTCTGTGTTGACACTTCCTCCAATTTTGTGTCATCCGCAAATTTAGATATGTTAGCTTGAATGTCCTCATCTAGATCGTTGATGTAGATGGTAAATGGCTGAGGCCCAAGGACTGATCCTTGTGGCACTCCACTAGTCACATCCCGCCAATCTGAAAAGGACCCTTTTATCCCTACTTTTTGTTTCCTACCCGTTAACCATTCCCCAATCCACGTTAATATGCTCCCCCCAATTCCATGGGCCCTTATTTTTTGGACTAACCTTTTATGCGGCACCTTATCGAATGCTTTCTGGAAGTCCAAATAGACCACATCCACTGATTCAAACTTATCTAATTTACTGAAAATATACTCAAAAAACTCTATGAGATTTGTCAAACATGACTTCCCTTTTGTAAAGCCATGTTGACTTGGCCTAGTTATATTGTGTTCCCCTAAATACCACACTACCACATCCTTAATCAATGATTCTAAAATTTTTCCTATCACTGATGTGAGACTAACTCGCCTATAATTCCCCATATTTTCCTTTCCACCTTTTTTAAATAGAAAAGACCTCACAAAGTGGATGGCAGGTACATTGGTTAATTTAGGATGGGTGCCTGACACACAGATTTGTTGAGCTTAGAAATCCCTTCAATAAATATTTACCCTTGTCAAAAAACATAAGACTCTCCAATGCTGAAAATGTGTCTATTTATTAAACTACATTGGCAAATGGGAACAACTGCAACTCACTTATGGTTTGTAAATGTGTATCAGAGTTGCCACCCTTTGGATGACATGTTAAATTGAGGTCCTATTTGCCATTTCAAGTAGATGTTAAAAATACTATGATACCTATTCAAAAAGAGTTTCTCCTGGTGTCCTGACCAACAGTCCACCAGATTAAATTGGTCATTCAGTTCATGGCTTTTGTGGTATATTGCTGTATGCAAATTGGATACCTCATTTGTCTGCAAAATACACCGTCACTGTACTTTGCAATAAATCTTGAAGCACTTCAAAACATTTTGGATGATGCGATAAGATGTTATGTCAAATGCAAAACACCTTAGTACTATACAGTGAGGTGTGGGATATGGCTCTCTATATTAGATCACAGGGTGGTGAATGCGGGGCAGGCTGGCACATAGCCTCATGGTATGTATAACCTGAAGCAAATGGTCCCAATTCAGAGATTTCTAAATAAGAAAGTGAACCAATGCCAGGGCTCATGTTGTGAGCAAAGACATTCAGAAGCTGAAATTCAATTCAGTCAGGCTTTCAAGGAAATTACATATTTCAAGTTTCTCCATTCCCCACCACCACCATCACCAACAACATATTCCATTTATATAGGGTCTTTCACATTGGGAGGCACTAGAAGGCACTAGACCACCACACACAGAATTTGTGTGCAAGTCTGTCTTCTGTACAAGGATTACTATTTTGCAACGTCCATGTACATCTTACTCCATTATTTTATATATAGCCATTTCTAGCCATTGAAGGTCATTAGTACTGCAGTATATCTAATCATTAGACTTCAGTGAGCTCATGCTTTCAGCCACTGAGCCCTTAACCTCTGGAACTCATTGCCTCAATCCCTCCACGTCGCCCTTTCTTATCTATCTTTAAATTCTACCTTAAAACCCATCTCTTCGACCAGCCTATGGTCACCTGCCCTTCCCCCTCCCTCTCTCACAGTGCAATCCTACCACTCTCAGCACTCCCAGACACGATCCTGCGTGAAGGGTGCTGTATAAACACACAGAGTAGCTGTTGCAGATTAGGCACAGAATTAACTGAATATTCATTTTTGACCACAAGAGGGCAGAACTTCTGTTATATCAAAGGATTAAGATTCATCACTGCGGTAAAAAGCTTCACAAGATTGATTTGGGTGAACAAGACCTTTCAGCCCATCCTATCTCATCCCCTCCACCCTGAAGCCAAAGACAACCCAGGCTCCTCTTCTCCACCACTCCTTCATCCACCTTCCCACATCCTGCATATTCTTCTCCTCGAACTCCAAACACAAGGAGATAACAGACTTCATCAGGTTCAAAGTTGGGAGATAATCCGACTGTCCCCTCTGCCCTTGCTACTGCCCATCCCCGGTCTCCTCTCATTTCCCCCTTCAACCCCATTTTTTCTTATTTCCTCTCCTTCACATCTCTTGAATAAAGCCCACAACGTGCTCCCTCAACCCCATCGCCGCCCCTCTCCTGATCGCTCAGCTCCACCTCATTGCCCCGATGCTAACAGATATAATCAGCCTCTCTTTGTCCACTGGCACAGTTCCCACCTCCTTCAAAACAGCTGTCATCACCCCACCTTCAAAAATCCTTCCCTCAACCCTTCGATTCTAATTACTATCTAATCTCCAATTTGCCTTGCCTCTCTAAAGTATTGGAACAAGTCATTGCTTCCTTGGTTCCTTGCACAAAACCCCTCTGCCTCTCTTTCTGCCTCCTCATCCTTCTTGACCTCTGTTGCCTTTGATACTGTTGACCACTCTATCCTTGTCCACCGCCTTTCCTTTTAGCTCCGCCTTCACGGTTCTGTCCTTTCTTGGTTTCTTTCTTACCTATCCCACGTCTCTTTGTGTCTGCCAACGGCTTCTCCTCCCACCCTCGCACCATGTGCAGCATTCCTCAGGGCTCTATCCTCAGTCTTTTCCTCTTTAATACTTACATGCTTCCACTCAGCGATGTCATCCGCAGACATGCTAACTTCTACATGTATGTGGATGACACCCAACTCTATTTCTCTTTCTCCACCTGATTCCATGAACATTACTGTCCTGACCAATTAATTACCTGTGAGAAATCAAGTTCTGGATAAGAGCCGACTTTCTCCACTTGAATGTCAACAAGACAAAAGTTCTCCTGCTTGGCTCCTTTCATCGCCTTGTCACCTCATGCGCCGACACCATCAAGCTACATTGATGCACACTCCACCTCACGGAGTTAATACCGAATCTTGGTGTTTTGTTTGACTCAACTGTCCACTGAACCCCATATCTGTACTCTTAACTTGTTCAGCTTTCCCCCACATTCAAAACATTCCCTACCTCTGCACTAGCTCTCCCCTTGGGCTGCCATGACCCTCATCCATGCTTTCATGTCCAGGCTTGACTATACTAGCTGGACTTCCCAACTCTTCCCTACACACGTTTCAGATCATCCAGAACTCTGCAGTTGATGTCCTCTCCCACACTGGGCTTCATGTACCTATACCCCAAACTTTACTAGGCTCCACTGGCCATCCCCAAGAGGATCGAGTTCAAGATCCTCGTCCTCACTTTTAAATCCCTCCACGGTTTTGCCCCACCCTATCTCTGCGACTTTCTTAAACCTATCAATCCGCTCGTTGCCTCTGCTCGGCTAGCACTGGCTTACTCCATGTCCTCCACCCTGCCTGTCCCGCCATTGGCATCCAGCCTCCACTCTCTGGAACTCCATCCCGGAGACACTCATCTTCCTTCCTCATCTTGACGTCCTTTAAGATCGATCTCAAAACCACCCTTTTTAAGACAACGCCTTTGTCATCTTTCCCCTCACCCTTTGGCCCCACCCTCCTGAATCCAACCCCTAGCACTGGTACTAACACTCGACTGTCCAGCACCCTGAGACGTCTTCCCGATGTGAAGTGCGCTATATATTATGAGTATTATTATTATATAAATGCAATTATTTGTTGTTCCAGAAAACCCATCTCAGTGTCTCTCTCATGACAAAATCATCCTGCTTTATAAACAAATCCACTATCCTGGCCTCTAGCACCTTTTCTGGCAACCTGTTCCAGTTGTTAATTACCCTCCGAGTAAAGAAAACTTCCTGGTATCTGTCCAGAAATTGCCCTTTGCAAAGCTAAACTGACTGTCTTGATGCATCCTAAAATGTGGATCTGGGTTTACCCTTTTAATCCCACTTACCATTTTATACATGTTTAACAATTTATTCACAAAACAAATGCAAGTCAATCTAAACGAATGTCTGCCAATGGCTTCCTGTCTTTTGGGGGAAAAAAACATTTTCAAGCTAAGTCTGTGATATTACAGTGAAGCCTTGCTTTAACGTGGTGGGTGAGATTCATAAAATTCATCCCACACTTTAGCAATGGGGCGTGTGGGGGATAGGAAGAGGGAATGGGCGATAGTCAGTTTTACAGTCTAGTGAGCAGGTTGAACACATTTTGTAGTTCAAAATATTTTTTTTAATAAGTGAAGAAAACAAATCTTCAATGGTGCAAATTCATTTTCCTTGAGTTGGAGAAGATTGCGAAAGTCCGTAAATTACAACCAGAAACCGAAAGCCTAACTGTAAGGTTACAGAGGACACTTACCAGGGACAGTGGTGATCCATTTTCCGAACACAGTGCCCACATCGGCTGCAGTGGTGAGTTCGCTTTGGCCTCATCTGGTTACATTTATTACACATTTCCCAATATTGTCTTTCTGCAACAAGACCGATGGAATTCAAATCAGAGGCTTTTTTTAAAAAAATCCTAAGAATCACATGACAGTACACCCCCATGTCCCCCCCCCCCCCCACCCAGCACCAACACCATCAAAAAAAAGTCTCTCAGTTCTTCAAGACTTAATTTCACCAATAACCACAGGTTTTGAAGATCTGAAACAATATTGGACTCAGTTAAGAACGGTTTCTAAAATGGGGTTTAAGTGCACCTTGCAATGGAATGGTTTTGCCACCGGGGGGAGGAAGAGCTGATCCCAATGTTTTTCCCTAAAGACGGAAAAAAGCACAGGAACGTAGCACTGGAATCACCCATTACTGTAATGATTCTCAATCCACAACATTCTCTAATTGTACATTTACTTTTAAAGGGATATCTAGCAATTGGTCTAACTAGTCAGTCCCAATACTATGTTAACAGGCTCTACTGCAATTCCTTCATGGTCTATTCCCTCTTCAATATGCTGACAAAATACCTCCACTGACTCTTTGGTTTGTTTTTTGGAAAAGCGTTATCTATACTTCTCTACTGGTACTTAAAATGGACTTACATCAAATTACAGGTTAATTGAACTGCAATTTCAAGTAGCACCAAAAGCAATGTCAGAAGATAATGAGATTATCCTATTGTAAAGACATCACCAAAGGCTCGAAGAACAACACCAACCAACATTTCAGTCTAATACACTCACCACAATTTGCATCGCTTTTGTGAGAGAGAAGTATACAATAATAATAATCCTTACATTTAGAAAAGCACCTTTTTTTGTCTGGAGGATGTCCCAAAGTGCTTCATAGGATATAATGTAAAGTGTAGTGACTGCATTATTATATGCTGTGTGTAACACACAGACAATGTATAATAATAATACTTACATTTGATATAGCGCCTTATCAAATTTTTGAGACGTCTCAAAGTGCTTCACAGAATATACTGTAAATTGACTGTATATTTTGTATCCATCCACCCAAGCATCTGGCATATCCATGAAAACCCAGAACACCACATTAATCTACACATACTCACACACACAGGATGTAACAATTCCCATACCCATAGCCAGCAATGTGGCCTCAAGGAGACTCCTTATTATTTCTGCAACCACTTTGATCTCAACACACTTTCCAGCTTATGTCCTTAATGTAAGGTTAGGATTTCGAGGCAAATTAGATTCAGGTCTGTAGTGTTAACACTAACAAACCACATTACATCAACCATGCAAGAAAACAATTAAATAGTCACTTCTGAGAACACTGGGGGTGGGGGGATCGGGAGAAAGAAATAGGAAACAAACAGCAAGGCAAATGCGTAGAAAGAAAACCACGCACATCAAAATGTCCGGGTGCAAGGTTGAAAGCCAGCAAAAAACAATGACCAATGTGTCTCAGAACTTTCTAATTAACTGTTAGCGAAATTTCGTGTTACCTCGCCTGATTCAAAAAACCTGTAAAGCTAAGCAAGGTTCAATCCCCAAGCACCATGCATAAAAACAAATGGGGCATTAATGCCCCAGGCACAGCAATAATGGAAGGTGAACAATGTAGCAGTATTTCTTCCTTTGCTCAATGCTCCGAGCAGCACTCCTTGCACAGACACAGGAGGTCAGTTCTTTACTAAGATGATACAGAATACGGGGGCCATCTCAGCTAGTGCAGCATGCAAACTAGGGATGCATACACACTGTGTTCCTATGGCTATGCTTGAAACAGGAAAACAGGAAAAAAACTTTACAGGTTTTTTTGAAAACATGACATCCAAAACAGTTACACTTAAGTGAACAATTACTTAGCTATTACCATGTAGGGAGCACAATGCGTCCATTGGCTTCTTTCCAAAAATATGTGAACATAAAAACAAAAAGTGTTGGGAGAAATCCCGCACAAGAAGAAAGTGTAAATTACCTTCTGATAAATATCTAAGTTCATTGGTCTGAAAAAGAATAAACAGCGCCTGTGCCAAGACAGCATTGAATACCTGCAGATTTTGCTGACACAAAAAATACAATGAAGATATCTCTTCTCTATATTTGTGTTAGCAACTGTATAGCTTTACAGGAAATCCCAGATAGCTGCCGCCTCCCCCCACCCACAAAAAGTGAGTAATTTCCTGGTCCATTACAACATCATCAATTAACTGTGTTCCAACTGTGTTCCACACTAACTGGTTGACATGGAAAAAAAGCATTGCATCCTGGGGCCAGGATGTTGTTCTGTACTACAACCCCTGGGACCTTGCTTTCAACAAAGCCCAAATTGATAGATTGAAAGTCTCCTTTCCCGGCTGGTTGCGAATTTATCGATGACACAGGTTTCGGCCAGTCTCAGTCCAGTTCTTAGTGGGCACGTACCCACAGCAAGACACAATTTGATGAATAAGCCATCTAAATCACAAGAATTTTTTTTAGAATAAGCTGAAGGCTTTGTAGCAAAATATAGAGGTAGATTTAGCAGGGTTTCGGAAGTATCACGGGCATTAGCTCTGAAATTAGTTTACAATGTTCAGTGCGGCCTTTAGGTGGCACAGAGTGAGAAGTGATTTAATGATCAGAAAAATGTAAATTTTAGAATTCGTTGCTACAAAAAGAAGCCAACTTTCAGGTTCATTGGATCACTGCACCTCTTGCTTTGCATATAACCATGAAGTGATGTTAGTGGTCCCATATGAACCACCTGCAAGTGGAGGAAACTCCCGCTATCATGCCTCGCTGCAATGCAAGTTTGAATTTTCTGGATCCGAACCACTATGAAGATTATAATAAGGTTGTGCTAGTTTTGAAATGCTGCAAACTTTACTCAATAGTAGAGCAAACAAATAGGATGAGGCTGCATTTTCCCTTTCCACACAATAATAATGTTTCTGTCCAGGTGTCGTGATTGTACAGTATTTAGCAGTTTGGTGTCACAACACATAGAATTCAGAGGTTTTTTTTAATTATTGGGTTGACAAGACTGAAAGTCTGCATTCTGACACATTTATACTAATAATCCTTACATCTGATAAAGCGTGTCATCACATGGTCGAAATGTTTCAAAGCACTGCACAGGATTTACTGTAAAGTGTAGTTGCTGTGTATTTATAGGCAAACCTGGCAGCCAATTTGCACACAGGAAAGTCCCACAAACAGCCATGGAATGAATGCCCAATTTCACCTGCAGGACTGTTGGCCAGAACACTGAGAAAAACTCTCTTCTGTTTTCAAGTAGTATCACATGATCTTTAATGTCCATGTTCCACAATCTACACAACCAAATCATAAGGCATTTTACTATGCACAGTAAAGATGACATTTGGCACATTTCCCTTCTAAGTGACTATCTGATTGTGTGCCAGCCTAGCTCAGTGGTAGCATTCTCGCCCCCGAGTCAGTGGTTGTGGGTTCAAGCCCCACTTTGGGGCTTGAAATCACATAGTCTAAGCACAGTGCAGTACTGGGGGGCGGGGGGGGGGGGGGGGGGGTGTTGCATTGTTGGACATGCCATCCTTCCAAAACCAAGGTTTAAGAGACATTAAACCAAGGTCCCATCTGCCGTTCAGGTGGACGTTAAAGATTCCAAGTCACTATTCAAAAAGAGAAGGGAGTTTCTCCAGTGCCCCCAGAAAAAAATCATCATTCACTTCATGGCTGTTTGCAAGACATTACTGTGTGCAAATTGGATGTCACATTTCATCCACAAATAGTCACTACTCCACAGTATATCATGTGAAGTGCTTTGGGTCGACCTCCCGACATGAAAGGCGCTATGCCAAATGGAAGGATTATTATTAACTGTAGCATGCTATGCAGGAGTTTTTAAGAAGGTATGAAGACATACAAGCATCATACACCATGTACCATGCACTACAGACTGTCCCTGACTTGTATGCCGCACTCCCTTAACAATGACTGAAGATGGTAATCCATACTTCATACTGAAGAATGTTGTGAGCAAACAGCTTTAAGAGTTCATTCGATCGGAATCGCAACTGTGTCCGTTGAGCTTCTCATTGCCTGGTTGAAACATTAGATAAAACTACATCCTAGGGAAGATCTATCGACCAAGGGTGAATAAACAAGTAAATACTGTAACTCTATCTGCCTGCCTTTCTTCCCCCACCCGCAAATTCAGCCTGGTGGTAGGATAAGTTAATCATTAACACTAAACAATTAAGGTAAGTATAGACTAAAGTATGAGCATCAACTGAAATTTCTCTCCTCCCAGAAAATAAATAAATGCTCACTTCACACCCCTCCCTCCCTCCCCATTAAACAGATTGCTCAAGAACTGATAGGACTTTCCTTACAACCTTTTGGGAAGAAGTTTAAATGATTAGGAATCAACACTGTCCACCAGTCTTAGTCCATCAATCCTCAACCTACCTCCAGAGCAAACACTTTGCACTCATGGAGCACCTTTCACAAAGCAGAGCATCTCAAAGCACTTTACAAAGACAGAGTAGGAGAAATTGTTGAGTTCTTACAGAACCTGTCAAGTCCCACATATCATAATTTGATGGAGGGAGGGGTGGGGCTTCCAATCTGTTAAAAAAAATCCAAATACTTGAATCGAACAAAACTGTCCAGCTCACTCCAATCAGTACAAAGCGATGCTTACCATCTTTCTAACATTTCACATCATCTTACATGCTGCATTGTACTAATTACTGACAATTAGAACAACTGTCAAAAAGATGCTTATTGGTGAGCACGGGTCATGTTACTTAATTTGATGTAACAGTAATTTGCCAGTAAACCAATAACCAAATATAAGGCCATAATGGTACATGACAAAGATTTTGGATGAAGAGGTCCTTTGAGCCATTTCAACAACAACCATAACGACTTGCATTTATATATTGTCCTTCGCACAGAAAAGCGTCTCAGTGATTTCATTTCATTCTTCCAGAACACCTGCCCTACTGACCTTCCGTTACAATATCAAGCCGTTTATTAAATGAGTCCAGGCTCCCAGCCTCAACCATTGATCCAGGTAATATTTTCCT